CAAGTGTTAGTTGTACAAGTGTTAGTACTGTTAGTTTAAATAATTTACTCATGTGTTAAGTTTTCACTAGTTGCCAAATAATATAAGATAAATATAATTTAAACTCTTACAATAAATTATCTTTTTCACTCAGCTAACATCTGTGATAGTTTTTATTTCATACTAACATTTAATAACTTTAGTACTAGTACCACTTCCCCCAGTATTTCAGCGATAAGTCTGAGGTTTTATAACACTAAAAACGGGTTTCGATACATGCAATGGACTGAGTACAAATAGTCCATTAAGTAGCTTTGCGCTTAGCAACAAACAAACAGACTATTACCACTGTCTAAAAACTTTAAATTAGGCCTCACGATCTACTGTTATTGTGTACTAAGCCTAATGTCGTAACCTTAGGCTTAGCTATAATTGCAGTCATAAAACCTAAAAATATCCAGTCCTAATTACATTAATTAACGTTGTTTGTGAGTTTGTTTACCCGTACACAATTTTGGAGCCAGCAGAAACAAACTTGGTAGACGAATTCGGGATGGCCCGGGAGCTGTTCTTATCTATATGACGTAGCCCCTACCCTTATTTATTTTGGGTACCAAGGAGGACTAGAAGGCGCCTAAAAGGTCATCCAAGCATAATGGGAGTCCAGAAAACAATTTGCACGATCACTGATCTCGAACTAGCCATCAAATCCCCCACCCCCTTGGGATCCCCTTGCTAGCGGGACAAAACTTGGCCCACGTGCGGGTGTCCTAACGTTTATTTATTTTTCGGTACGAACCTCTATAAGTAACGTAGATAATAAAGGAGGCTCAATCGTTATAATGGGACTCTGTGGATCAGGAGAGGGAGCTTTAAACTCCACAGCGGATCGTGGGAATTTTATGCTGGTCTAACAAAAATACATTAAAATATTTATTCTAAAATTTAATGACACGTAACTTTTTATATAAAACCGATTTTTATCCAATGCGTATTGCCATAAAAAAGAAAATAAATTAGGGAACTTAAGCAGATGTAAATAAATCATTTGTTACTCTTCTTAGCCGATCATCTATTTTGTTTGTAGTTAAGCGCAAAGCTTCGCCACGGTATCAAAACTCGGATTTTAGAAGTAGGTGTTTTATTAAAATTGATAATATACAAACTTGTCTTTGAATATTTAACGTATTAGTCTATTATTGTATATAAATAACGTATTTTCTCTTTGCAAAGGACTGCGGTCAGTCATTCAACGGGGGAAGTTTCTATGACCACGAGGGTCAGCCATATTGTGAGACGCACTATCACGCCAAACGTGGATCGCTGTGTGCCGGATGTAACAAGCCGATCGCAGGCCGCTGTATCACGGCTATGTTCCGGAAATTCCATCCTGAACACTTCGTGTGCTCATTTTGCCTGAAACAACTGAACAAGGGCACGTTTAAGGAACAAAATGATAAGCCATATTGCCATGCTTGTTTCGGGAAGTTATACGGTTAACATTTTTGCCTCGTTTTATGAAGTGAAACTCTAAAGTGCTTTATGTCACTTTATCAAATTTTCTTTGTTGTTTTTGCTTTTGAATTGCCACAAACATAAGTAATAATCTTTTAACAAAATATCTTTTGATCAGTTAGGCACGATATTACAAATTACAAATTTTTAATTGTAACTAAACGTTAGAAAATAATTCTGTAGAAGTGTTGAGAAAGAATTTTCTAATTTTTTAGGTTTCTGTTTTTGCAAAGAAACTTATTCAAGGTATTCATGAAGAACATTAGGCTAACTATATAGATTAGAATTAAATTAATTTAACTTATAATGAGAGCAGTACTGTATAACTAATTGACTGGAAATAATGGCATAAATCAATAAGAAAGTAAAGTAAAATATATAATAAATAGAATGCGGTTGTTTAATACTTAATTTCAGCTTAAATACACACGAGCTCATTGTGCGCAAAGAATGCGTCGCTTATACATAATTAAAGTGATATTGTTACGTGGTTTTCGTGTTTGAACATAATTTACTAAAGCCGTGTATCTAGTTTCTTACACTGTGGTGTATTTTGTATTAAAGTCTAAAGAATCCCATGTTTGATACAAACTTACATTGGGAGGGAATAGAATCCCATGTTTTTTTAGTTTTTAATCGTGAACTGCCACAAAATGAGAAATATATTAGTTCAGTTCTCTGCACGTGCTGACTAAAACAAGCTTGTTTATGGTATGTAACTGATGCCTCGTGTGGTTTGTTGTTCAGTAGAACACGTAGATTGATGTGATGTTTTTACAAAGAATCGTAATGGTTCCTTACTAAAAGATCAAAACTCTGCGTAGTGTAATATTACCATAACCTTACTAAAAAATCAAAACTCTGCGTAGTGTAATATTACCATAACCTTACTAAAAGATCAAAACTCTGCGTAGTGTAATATTACCATAACCTTACTAAAAGATCAAAACTCTGCGTAGTGTAATATTACCACAACCTTACTAAAAGATCCAAACTCTGCGTAGTGTAATATTACCATAACCTTACTAAAAGATCCAAACTCTGCGTAGTGTAATATTACCATAACCTTACTAAAAGATCCAAACTCTGCGTAGTGTAATATTACCATAAAACGTCTTATATTTTTCACAGTCACTTGCAGTAGTATTTTTGAAAATCGTTTTTCATTAGTACTGGTGTTTGAGGCACATGTCACAATTACTCTGTGTGCTACATTAACGTAACAAACACCATGATATGCACAATTGTTTTGGCAAGGGCTGATCTAAAATATTAAAAAAAATTTCTTTATAATATTTTAAACATAATATGGAAAATGTTTATATTCTGGATTTATTTCCTTTTCCCCAGAGGTAAAAAATTTAAAATATAATCTCTGACGTAGAGGCCTAATACATTATTTGATTCATTGCACCCTCTGCCGTGGACTGCATGTAATTCAGGGTCAATAAACAAAGAAATACAATTAGGCCTCCTATAATGGTGATGTGTATATAATATTTATGGGGTTTTTGAATGTCTTTTAACTCATTATATAATAGTAATCTAAATTAGAGTAAAAAAAAGGACTTCATAACTATTGTATGAAACAAGTTTACTTTTAAAATTGTAAGTCAGTTCGACATACGGAAAACCTAATTAACAGTAAATCGTTTCAGAAAAGTTATTCTACGAGAGCTTTTAATTGATTTCATTACCATTTTTATGCAGTTTCTTTTAAAGCCACAGGCGCAAGACTGGGGAAAAAAAGTATTATTCATTTGAAGCATCATGGGAAAATGTTTAGAAATGATCCCTTGCAGTTTTAAGCGTTTTGGAGGGTTAAGTGTCCGGGTCGTTTAATAATATCTTATGTGCTCCCTAGCCTTTAAAAACTAATAAATACATAAGGCTTTAAATAAGGTGTGACATGAAACTAAAATTTTTTTGTAAAATGATAGTATTGTCTGGTTTTGTATAGTCTTCGTTCTTTGCTGACTCTATCGTAGTTTAGAAAGTTGTTTTATGTAGAAGATTATGAAGCTAAAAATCACAAAATATTTTATAGCTTAATCTTTGATACAAATTATCTTGGAAAGTTATTTTACAACGAAGTTTTGTCATCATATTATACTGTATTGTTACGCCTCCAGTCGTTAATTAATTTTCCGTAACTTCGTTCCGACGAAACTTTAGCGACACAAG